AGGAGGAGAAATATGAAGTTGTGGTGATGGAGACATAGCAGGGGACCATGGGGGGATAGCCTGGCCTGGTGTCCTCCTTCACCTCATGCAGCACGTTGGCCTGACTTACAACTTTAAATGGAATGTCTAGTGAGCCAGTGTGGCTATCATCTGGGAAGAGGAAGAGGTGCCCATGTTAAAAATCGGGTAGATTGCATTCTGCATTCCATTGCACAGGAATTATAGAGTTACAGAGTTAGCAAGGGCAGACAGAGTGGCAAGGATCAAAACATACAAATTAGAAGCAAAATTTGAATACTTCTGCAGGAAAAAACCCAAGCAAAATAAACTTACCAGCTGCTTTATTTCACCTTAACATTTTATAAAATACACATTAAGAGATAGCTATACAGAGACCTAACAGTTGAACTTGATTCATACAACCAGAGTAAAGTTCCCAGGTGTCAGACAGGACCTGGGCATATGTGATCTTTCTACTGTATTCGTACCATGCTCACTATTCCTCCACATCTTCCATTATTACCATTTCCAACAGCCAAACTAAGAGGTGTACATACAAACTTGAATTTGTTTTGACTCTATGAGAAGTTGCCAGTAAGATTTCAATTTAATAAGAATCTCCCTAGTCTTTCCTGGCTTTCTTTCCTTTATCCATACAACAATCTCTGTCAAATCTGGCCCCATCTCATGTCTACCTGAACAAAAATGGATAAAATCAGAGTTAAAGTCACTGAGAAGAGGGGAGAGGAGGTGCATCTCCAAATTCACAGCAGAGACATTCAAGAAATGCTTAGGTAGCAAAGAAACTCTAATTGAATTCAGAAGTTCCATATTTTTCTTATCCTCTTTACCTCACCAGTCCAACAATTACTGCTAAAGAGATCCTAGGGCAGCTATCCCAAGGAGGCAAATGGTCACTTTCTGCCCATCCAAAATATCCAACCTAATGATAGTAGCAAGTGGAGAAGTGGTGCTGGCCTCTGGAGGAGAAATATGAAAAATATCCCCAGATTTATCCCCGGCACTGCCATTCAGTTCTACCATGCTATGCTTATAAATATGTTTGTTGAGGAATTTTCCTTTCAAACATTTTGTTAGGGTCTCTTCAATCTTATCCACCTTTTATTTGTCCCTCCTAATGAGGAAGGAGCTGACCAGCCTACCCACAACCAAGAGGAAGGTCCTAGAACTTTCTAAGAAGGGAAGTGGGCCAAACCAAGCCTAAGCTTGGTAATGCTCAGCTGATTCTAGCTTGCATTCTTGTTGGAAATAAAGACTTTTTAGTCATACTAGTTGGAAGCAAAGAATTATGCAATTAATCTTTTAATTACAATTAAAAGTCCTACAAAAGACACTGGGTTGTGTGAGACCCCATAAAGAGGACTGGCCCTTTGAGGTCATGGGCAACTTCCTTGCCATTTTGAGGTCACAAGAACTTTCCAGGGGAGGTGTGTTTACTGGTTGTCTATCTGATGAATAAGTGTTAGCTGGGGTGTGTGCAGGTGTGCAGACAAAGCAGGGAGGGATAGCAAGCATTTAGGTAGAAGACAAGTGAGAAGCAGTGGGTGCATGGAAGGAACAGGAAGGTGACCGGCAGGCTGGAGTGCAGAAAGTGAAGGGGAGCGTAGAAAGGGGCGAGGTGGAAAAGTGCTGGGGCCACATCCTGCAGGCATCCTGGAGGGTGAGGAAGTTTGCGTTTTAGCCTGTGAGCCATGGGTCTCTCTGCGTGCAGCAAGGCTGCAGTGGTGCCGCAGTCTCACGAGCAGTGCAGGCTATTGCCCAGCTGCTCTTCCAGACAACACGGGCTCTGGCCCTCTGGAGGGGTAAGGTGGAGAGGGCTGACGTGGCCCTGTGCTCAGAGCACTCCTTTGGGTGGCCCGCATGCTGGTCTTGGCACAAGGGTTTGGCTTACTCTCAGACAGCCCATCCAGCTTCAAGGCTTGGAATAATCATTTCATGGCTTCAACTTAGCCTGTCTGGATCGCACCTTGAAATGCTCTCTTGCCATCCTATAGGCGAGCTGCTCCCTGCCCCCAGGGGAAGACTGATGGGTGGGGTGCTTGAAGCAATGAGGGAAGACTTCTCCCTCATTCCTGCTGAATAGAGCCAGACACCCAACCAATGAGGCCAGACTGGAGGTGCCTAAATCCTGCTTGCCTGAACATGGTGGCATTTTTCCAGAAGCTCAGGTGCCCAATTTACAATGTGTCAGCATGGAATCTGGATTACACATTCGTCAACCTTTGATTAATACTTAGTAAATTGTGTATTTTGGCATTGTCTTTTGGGTTCCCTTTGGGACATTGCTGGATGTAGAATTCAGTAAATAGCTAGTCAGTTACGTTGAACAGCAACTCACAGATGGATTGGTCTGAGAGGAGGGTCACTTGGTGCTGCACTTCCTAGCTGATGTCGTGTGCCTTCACATGTGTGGTGAAACATATGCTGCTGACCCCCCGGGAGCCCCTGGCCACTGTCTGAACCCCAGCCTCCTGTCTGACTCATTTTATGAAGCTCTGGCTTCTAGGCTGCTCCATCTGGAAACTGCCATACATGGTCATTTAGCACATGCAGGGGGTTAAGTGAAACCTTCGCTAAAGATGTAATAAAGGCAAGAGACAGAGACGACAAAAAAGGGAAAGGAGAATAATAATAATAGTATGCACTATCTGTTGAGCACCCAGTCTATACCAGATGTTTTACAAACATAATTGCTCACCATGACTCAATTCCTGCAAGGTTAGTATTATTGCTTCCATTTAACTGATGAGGACAGTGGAGCTCAGGGAGGTTCAGGGACCTGTCAAATCCCCACAGTCACAAAAAGGCAGGTCAGAGGTTCACATCTGACAATTACGCCATGTTTCCATGCAGCGAGGGAGGAAGCTGGTAGCATTGAGAGGACAAAAGCCCAGCTGCTCTGCACCAAACCTCTGTAAGCCCAGGGTACTTACCACGCACACTGCCCACAGCACTCCTGTCTACATCTGTCTGTGTTCCCGAATATCCTGCTCTGCCTCTCACTCCCCTCCTTAACCCTGCCCTAAGAGAAAAGATGTATTCCAGATTGCTGTCCCCAGCTTTTCATCCCTCCCTGCAGTTTCCAGGCATTTCCTACTGTAAAATCATCACTGCCTCTGGGATGACGGGAAATCAGCATTGGGCAGTAGTGACCTTCCTCAGAGATTTCCTTAAGGAATTCGGAGCCAGTCTTGAGTGGGTGAGCAAAATCACGGCTTCGTGCTTTCCAAAGACCTTCAGCGGGCTTCCCACAGTGGCCAGGAAGTGGAGGCAGATGAAATGATAGTTTGAAACCCCTGGAGGCCTTGGCCTCTGCCTCTTAATTAATTGAATACTGTCCATTTAGATGACTGGAGTCTCAGTCCCCTAGCTGGTGTTAATAGAGCCTGAAGTCAGTAGCCTATCTCAATGTACAGCGATGACATTACAGATAATGGTGGGTGGCAGCAGTGGGGATCAGAGCCCAAATGAGGTCCTAAAATAATCATCGGATCAAAGGAGATATGTGCTTAGTAGGGAGAGGTGAGGAAGAACTTGATGCCAGGTTGGCAGCCTGGCCTGCAGCTGGGAGAGCTCTAAAGACTAAGGAACTGGTCCTGTGGGCAATGCCTGAGCACCCGTCCACAAAGTGGTCCAGGCCAGCCCTGATGCTAAGACATCACAAGATACATAATGAGCTTTGTATTTACCAGAATCCTCTAAGGGAAAGGACTGTATGTAGGGGACCCAAAATTCTTTTTTTTTTAATTTTTTGTTTATTGCAGTAACATTGGTTTATAACATTGTATAAATTTCAGGTGTACATCATTATACTTCTATTTCTGCATAGATTACATCATGTTCACCACCCAAATACTAATTACAACCCATCACCACACACATGTGCCGAATTATCCCTTTCGTCCTCCTCCCTCCCCCCTTCCCTTCTGGTAACCACCAAACCAATCTCTGTCCCTATGTGTTTGTTTATTGTTGTTATTATCTATTACTTAATGAAGGAAATCATATGGTATTTGACCTTCTCCCTCTGACTTATTTCAACCAAAATTCTGATAGCAAGCTTCCAGTGAGAGTAGGGAGCCCCCAAGGGACATGGTGGAGTCCCAGTAGATAATGGCCAAACTGCCTTGTAAAAGACTCTAAATCCAATTAACAACAAGAGCTTTCCTTTCATGAGTGGGATGTGCAAGTTGGGGGCAAGAGTGAAGAAAGGCTGCTTACTGCCACCCTGCTGTCCTCCTTCCCTGTCCTTCTCCCATATGTCACTCATTGTCTCATTGGTTAGAAGGGGCTCCCGATGGCTTGCCGGCCCAGAATATCCACATGTCTCTCTTCAGCCCCAATGATGGGACAGTTGCAGAGTACAGTCTTATAATATTGTTATGGAAATCTTTGTACCACTTAAGTGTCAGGGCTCTAAAATAAATCCCTGGTTACCCCTTCTTTGCTGCCCTCTGTTGGGAATTGGTCTCCCTGATCATCAGACCCTCCCCCCATGGGTACCACTTGGGGCCGGTGACAATTAACAGAGCTGCCAATAGCTTGAGTGTGGTCCATACCTGACTCAATTCTGCAGCGCCATCTTAACTGCTGTTATGTACAATTCTTTGTTAAATGTGTAGATGTTTAGATGGGTGAGTGATGAGATGCATGAATAATTGCATGAATAAATGAGTGAATAAATATGCAACATAGCTACCTGAGGTAAGAGATGAAACTATTACCTGTGAAACATTTTTCTCTATACAAAACTACAACAGACACAGTTGAGAATGGAACCCTCAGCCTGGATCATGCTGTGACTGACTTGAGTTTTTCGGCCCGGAAGGACACATCATGGCATTGATTAAGCCTGCCTTGCATGGGCCCATCACTGTGGTAATTATGGCCACACTACCAAGGCATCTCTTGAGAGCAGATGTCTTGGAAAGCAGGTGTCCGGAGATTTCCACTGACGTGTTCTTTTTTTTTCTTTTCAGATTATCAAGGAAGTCCCTCCACCCCCTGCTGAGGAAAGTGAGGTGAGTGAGCAGAGCAGCGTGCGGCCAGGTGCACAAGGTGGCAGAGGAGGGCAGAAAGCTGGCTGGGCTGGCCCAAAACCCAGTCCCCTGGGAAGCAATGTCAGGCCCAGGCTCCTACTGCATATGAAGCAGCAGGGAGGGAGGTCTTTGGTTCTTTCCTAACCAAGGGTACACAGGAACTGAACTAAACTGACAGCTATAGACAGAACGGTTTGGGGACGTTTTCTCCTAGCAAAAATAAAATTTGAGATGCAAACATAAATGTTTTTATCAATACAATTATTTGGAGCACTAAGGTATTGATTTTTCCTCTAAAATAGACACTTTAGGGTTCTCTGCTCCCTGTAGAGACTTATGCTTTATGTGTGTAGATCAGGGCAAATTTGCCACATTCTCCAAATAATCATTGATTCTAGGAACAGCTAGATGCTGAATATTCCATTTTTCTTTAATTTAAAATAATATTACCTAAAGATTTGCCAGGCAGTAATGAAAATATACTGGAGGGGGATATGCTAATATACTGACCTTGCTCTCGAATCCTTATCATTTGAAGAAAGAAAAAATGTCTTAGACTCCACCATAAATTGGCCAGTAAGCAGTTCTGGTGCAAGTGTGGCCTGGGGTGGAATATAGTGGAGGCGTTAAGGGCTAACGTGAGGAGGAGCATCCCTGGGCAGGAGTGCCTGGCCAGTGGCTTTCCTGATCCTCTGATCACTCCTGGGATAGCCGGCCTCCCTGGGTGCAATGCTCACCAATTTAGAAGCCAGGGTACAGGTCTGAAAACTTAGTGGGACCAAAAGATATATTGCTGAGGTTTCAAGTTCATTTTTCTCAATCCCAGAGGTCTGTTGTGTGCAAACCAAGCGCAACCCCCCTCACTATGCCTCTTCCCAATGCCATAGAGAAAGAACAGTGATTAAATTTGAAATTCCACGTGGCTCTTATATCCTGAGCCATACGCATGTAAGCAAGGGGTTTAGTAGCTGCAGTCAATTAAAGCACATCTTGTTGGAATGCTAGCTTTCTGCCCAGTCATCGGGGGAGGAAATTACATTGCTATGCAAAGAGAAGGGAGAAAAAAACCCTCTTTACATCCACAAAAAAGCCTTTTCTTAATCCTTCGAGAGAAAGCACCGTGGCTAGTTCCACGGGTTCCAGTTTGGCTGTGTTTCTGTTGCATGCAGCTGTCTCTCACACTTCCGAAGAAAAATAGGGCAAGAAGCTCTCTTGATGAGGTTGCTGTGTGCCCTGAGGTGAAGAATGTTTCCTCCCCTCATTATGTTCAATTAGAGGAGTCGTTGCCCTTTCTTCTGGTGCTGGCTCTGCATTTGCCTTTGGAAGGTGACGTGGCGGCTGTCGTGGCCAAGGGGACTTAGGTACAAGACTGTGGGGTGTGGTTTACCCCAGAGCCCAGCATCTAGCATAGGGCTCCACACACAGAACAAGCTAAATAAGTATTTGTAGAATGAAGTACTATACCCAACAAAAAAATTTTAGAGGGGGGAAAAATGCCCAAACCAGAAAACCACCGAGAAAGAATAGCTAAAAGCAAGAGAAGAGAAGAGTTTTTCCAGTTTCATCTAATGTTCTTGTAGAAGTTGTACTTTAAGCTGAAGAAGGCAGGTCTGGTTTCTGAAACAGAATGACATCCTCGGTGTACTTGAGATCCAAAGGTTGTGTTAGACGTAAAGGAGCTTCCGGGCTGGCGGGGACAGGCTCTGGGCTGTGCTGATTACCTTAGCATGTGTGTTGGCCCAGAAAGTTCCTTGGCCCTGTAAGTTAAGCAGCCCTAATCTCCTTCCTAATGTGTGTTGGCAGAAAAAAATAAAGAAATCCCACAGAAAAAGATAACGTAACTTAGCCCGTACAAAGTATTTTACACAATGCCCTGAAAATCACGGTCTGAATCTAGACAACCTTCTCCAGTCGAGCTCCCTGTGTTCCAGTCCCATCTGTCCTTTAAGCACAGCTCATGTGCTACCATCTCCACGAAATACACACTAATTCCTACCATCAGGACGAATGTCTCACGTCTCCCTTCTCTGCATTCCCAGGATAGTTTACTGACTCTTCTTTCTGCATCAAAGTTTAAGACCATTAGCTACTTGAAGGTCAGGATCTATAGCTAATTAATCTTTGATTTATCCCCAAAGAGCTTAACACAGTGCCTAAGACTCAATTAATAGCTATGTGAAGTCAAACACTCCCTGCCATATCTGTGAACAAGTATTAATTACCCAAACTTTCATCAGTTCTATAAGCATCATATCCTAAGGGAGGTATCTCTACTGTTTAAATAACTAAGCTTAGAGAATGAACACAACCTTATAATGAGCTCTCACTGACCCTCTTTAATAGGGAATATCAAAATGCATAATATAAAAAGGCATGACTTTTTGAGATTCCATGCAAACCACAGCGATACCTCTGTATAAAGAGAGGAAAAAGAAAAATTACTTGAAATTTTGAGATTTCAACAAAAGCAAGGAAGCTCAATTTTAGTAACTAAGAAGGGGATTTCCTGAGTTAAGAGTCTTCTCTAACTGGCAGCAGAGTGAGGGTTCGTCATTCAGTCTCTAGTTATTCCAAATAATTTGCAGTTTATTGGTCCTGTGGGCAATGCCTGAGCACCTATGAGAGAATCCAATAATGGAGTACATTATCTAATGGTTTAGTTCTAAATGTAATTACCTTCCATGGATTTTCTAAGTTTGCAAGGGAGGGATGCGTATTCAAGTTATTGATCCTGGGTGGGCATACAATTAACAATATGTGCCTGGCTTTGAAAGATGAACTCATTTCCAGGTTGATTATCATGTTCACTGATCCTAACAATTTGTCTGTGGCAAGAATTTTTTAGATGGGAAAACCGAGCTATGGAAAAATTACACAACTTGTCTAGGACCAGACAAGTTGAACTCCCTATTAGCTGCAGGCCTGGTACCCCTCACAGCTATGTCTACACAGACAGCCAAAGTAGCCTTTCACTCTGGAGGGGTAAAGGACCAAGCTGCTGCCAGGCATTTTCTTTCCAGTGGACATCAAATCACACTCTCATATACACTCTCATGCACACACATGTACATTCTAAACAGAAGTACTAGAACAGGCCTAGAATTCAGTATTCTGTTTTAGTTTTGTTTTGTTTTTTTGCTGAGGTTTAGGTAGCCCTAAACTAACATCTGTTGCCAATCTTCCTTGTTTTTTGCTTGAGGAAGATTAGCCCTGAGCTAACATCTGTGCCAATCTTCCTCTCCTTTATATGTGGGTCAACACCACAGCATGGCTGACAAGTGGTGTAAGTCTGCGCCCAGGATCCAAACCCACGAACCCAGGCTGCCGAAGTGGAATGCGCCACCTAACTTAACCACTATGCCATGGGACCGGCCCCAGGATTCTATATTTTAATAGCTAAAAAAAGGAAGTTGCTTCTAAAAAAATAAACACGCTATTCTTTGTTGAGAATACAGGACAATCATCACATTGTCCTTACTCATTGTGTGTACGTGCACAGATATGATGGTGCCATGACATGTTAAATGCAACTCAGAATGGGGGAATCTGAAGTCAGTTAGAATTTTTTGTATTCACAAACATAAGTGTTGTTAGACTCTTCTAACTTGCCAATTCATTCCTAGGAATTCATCTCCAAGACTGACATGAGGGTGACCCTTCTGGCCTATCCCCAAACACTTCAGATGAGAAAGTACAGCCAGTTCTACTTTAGGTTCTGCCCTCCAGAGCCTCCTGGGTCTGGGAGTTTCTGTGGCCTTAGTTCTTTACTTCATCACCCTCACAAAACTTACTCCTCTAGAAATATAAATGATCCTGTTGACAATTACATTCCCTTTATTTTTCTTAAAATATAACACTGCTGGCAAGCAGTGGGGGCTCAGCTACAGTTGCTTGAGTGAGTGAATGAAGTAATGGACAAATAAATGGCCCTCATTTGGGGCTATATAGGGCTTACAAGGGTTTAAGATATGTTACAGTTCAATGAAATTTAAAATGAATTCAAAGGCTGATCTAAAACTATTTCAGTGGGCTCAATTCTGTTTCAATTATGTTCTCCTTTCCATAGATAGTTCTCACTGGTACCTACAGAGAATTGGGGGTTGAGAGCCTATTTTGGTCTAACTGGCCATCTGGCTCTTCTGGCAAGTGGAAATCAGGGAAGCAGGAATGTTAAAGAACTTGTAGATTGAGTCTGAGAGGGCCACCATATGCACAACTCCAGGGGGCGCTATTCACACCAAGTTTGTGGAGTTTCCCAGTGCACAGTCTATATGGAGGAGTGAGATAGCCCTAGGATCAGAGATCTCACCCCTTCTACTTGCTGGTGTGCTTAATAACTAAGTAATAGTTAAATATTTGTTGAGTGAGTGAAGGTCAATACAAGGAGCTGTGGGGAACACACTAAGGGACATTGAATTCTCTGGAAAATCAGGGAGTTCTTCAAAGAATAGATTACATTCCTGTGATACCTGAAAAGACAGGTAAAAGAAGTGGGGGAATGGTGTTTCAAGCAAATGGAACCACGAATGTTGAAGCATGGAGCTGTACAAAACCCTGGCATGATTGGAAAGATGGGAAAGTTCAGTGTCTGAGGACAGCATGGGACTAATCCAATTATGGGCTAACCAACATGTGCATCAGACTTCATATTCTACAGCTATTTCCTCCTAGAGCAGGACTCTGCCTGAGGGCACACCCAGATCTTTCCGAGGGCAAGCAGGTCAGAATGGGCCTCCTCCATTTGAGTAATGTGCTGCCGCTTGTGTTACCCAAACATCAGCCAACTGGACATCTGGGGCCACCACATCCTTTAAGATTTAAACATAACATCCCCTGAAGGAAACCAGCATCCCTCCCTAATCTCTGTGGTTTCTCCAGGCACCAGTGACTCCTACTTCTTGCGCGATCTCTTCTTCGTTTGCTAGACACCATCTAACAAACCCAGTTCCTACACTCCCCCCAAAGGCACCACTAGCACAAGGCCATCTGAGTAGGGACTTCTACTGAAAGTTTAAAAGTATGGGGGTGGTTACAACACAGTGCAGCCAACGGATAACTTCTGACAATATTAAACAGCCTCTTCGTTACCATGCCTGTCATTTCCACCACTGGGAGGTTCTCGCCACCTGCTCAGGTAGGCCCTGGCAGTTTGCTAGTAGCTCAGTTCCACTCTTTTCTGCTCATCTTCTGCTGACTGCCCACAAACACTGATTCCTACTACTTTGCTCACACAGAGCAATTCAGCTTATCCACTCCGACCTCCAGTAATCACAGAGGATTTCTATACTGGTGATTTTTCCTCTCCCTGCCACATCCTTGAAGGGCAGCGTGATGGGAGCTTCTCAAGAGCCCTTATACTTAATTAAAGATGTAGAGAGTCATCTAAGGTGCTGCCGATTTTCTTAGTGGACTTGCTGGGGACTGAGATTTTACTCCATCAATTTTTGGCCAAATGAAAAGACACATCAAAGATTCCCTTCTCTTCTGAAGATTGCAAAACTCTCCCCGTCTCCAGAATGTGTAAACAGAACCATGGTAACTGCGGGGAAATTCTGACTCTCCCGTTGGTCAAACCCTGGGCCTTTGTGTCGTCTTGTGCTGTTGTTGTTTGAGTTTGGCAGGCAAGCTCAGGTCAGGGGATTAAATGGCAGGCTTGGCGGATCAGGAGCATGTGGAGCAGATTTAAGTCCCGGCATTTCCTGTTGTGGGACGCTGGCCCCTGCACACGCGCAGTAGTCTGGCCTGGCCTCCTTAGCCAGGCACAGCCTAGAAATAGAGCCCACAGCAAGTCCTGGACGGGAGGGAAGAGATGAGAGGGAGGGCAGCTCCATGTGCAAGCACGGGAGGGGCGGGGGGGAAATCCCTCAACAAGGCATCAGGAAACCAGACCAGAACGTCGGCTCCATTGGTTTCTTCATTTCTCTGGGTCTGACTCTCCTCTTCTGTGCAACAAAAAGGCTCAATTAGATGGTCTCAATGTTTGTGCTCCTGTCATTTAAAAAATTAGGAGATTCGTGAGACCATTTCCGTCCCCTATTGAACAAAGCAGCTTTATTCTTGGAGTTTCTTACGTTCTTGGTGCTGTTATGTTCAGTTTGGGATGATATAATTTCAGTGATGTCCTTTGAAAACTGCACTAGACCAGAGATCCCAGGCTTTTTGGAGCCAAAATTCATATGTGACACACAGACACACTCTGGTGGTAAAGTTTAACCATCTGTGTAAGATACCTAAGGTTCATAGTTTGACATCATAAGATCTCTGAAACTATATCATAAGATAAAATACTGTGAACTATAGTATGTTCTTGTTTGGGTTGTTTTCCTTTGTTGTTATGTATTATTTTGCTATGTTTTGTAGTTGTAAATCTCCAAAATTAGCAGCTACAAGGGATGAGAAGTAGAAAACTAGTATTTATTTGATACCATCAAATGACTGGAAAAGCAAAATGCAAATGAATGAAACCCAGAACTTGCCAACACTGAGAAACAATCAAATGAGAATGAGGCTGCCTGGGCTCCAATCCAGCTCTGCCTCGTACAGCCTGGGTGACCTAAGTCTCTTAACCTCTCTGTTCCTCCTCTCTAAAATGGGCAGAATAGCACCACCTACCTCTCTGGCTGGCTGTGGGATTACAGGGTTAATACAAGCATTTAGAAGGGTGACTGGCACATACATGGTAAAGGCTACAGAAATCTGACTGTGGTTATCACAAATTCACTATGTGTTTATTGAGCACCTACTGTGCACCAGGCTCTGTGCAAGACTTAGAATACAAGCGTCAACAGAAGCCACCGTGCCTTCGGGGCCCACAGTCCCACGGTGAAGAAGGACAGATCTGTTTTAAAAAGAGAGAGAAAAAGAGACTGACCCAAGGGTCAGCTGCCAGAATGTCACAGGTCCTCTGCTCTGCTGTGATCACTGTCCTTTAAGATAGATTAAATTTTTTACAAAGAAGCGTGTCCATCCCAAGCACAGCAGGTCACCCAGGGAGTCTTGATGTGTTATTATGTTACCGTTTTTGCTTTGTTGCCTCTGGCTCTGACCTCTCTTCTGCCAACCACTTGCTCTTGCTTTGTACCTTGCCTCCTGCATGGATGCCCCTTTCCACAGAGGGGTGGCCCTCCACAGGACTCCTCTCTGAGTCCTTGACTCTCCAAATGCCCCCAACACAAGGCTGTGGGAAGCAGGCTTGTTCTGAGCAATTTCGTCCTCTGTGGCTCATTCCCCTGCTTTGCAACCCGTTTTTCAGCTTCCTTTCTCGACCCAGGAGGGAAATCATGCCACCACCCTATAACCCATCCATGACTGTAGATGGTGATTTTTTCTCCCCGCAACAGGAATAATTACAGTGCCAAGATGAGCAGCAGTTTTGCTAATTATCCTTCCCTTTTCCATCCATAAAGTTACAAGTTCCTCTTATTTTCTCCCTTCATCTTAGAAAATATAGTAAGCGCTAACTTCCTGTCACTGAGCTAAGTTGCAGACACTGAGTTCACTGCTTTGTTTGAATCATCTCACTTAATTTAATTGTAAATTGAACAGATAATTCTTGGGCACCTACCATGTACGAGGTGCCAGTCTAGAAGCTGAGAATACAATGGTAAAAATGACAAATAAACAGAAGCTTCCTTGGAACGTCCATTCCAGCATGGAGAGACAGACGATAAATAAATATCAAGCCGTGATAAGAGCCGTAACTAAAAATAAAACAGATTGGTGGGATGAAGAACTGGGGCTACTTTAGAAGGATGTCCAGGGAAGGCCCCTCCGAGGAGAGAAAAGAAGGATGCAACCATGAGAAGACAGGAAAAAGCCTTCCTGGGCAAGGGGGCGGCTCTTGCACGGGCCTTGAGACAGGAATGTGCTCAGAGCATGTGAGGGACAGAGAAAGGCCAAGCAGGCTGGAGTGCAGGGGGCAGGGGAGCATGAGAAGGAAGAAGGCTGGAGATGTGAGCAAAGGCCCACACTCGCAGGGCCGGGCCGAGTTGGGGTTTTGATTTTATTCTGCTGCTTTGTGGAGAATGGGCTGTAGGCGAGTAAGAGGGCAGCAGGAGGCCAGTTAGGAGGCTACCGCAGTATCCAAGAGAAAGCTAATGGGGGCTTGGGCCCAGGGCGGGGGTATGGTGATGGGGGTGGAGTTGGAGAAGTCACAGATTTGGGAATTTTTAGAAGTAGGGTCAATAGAGCTTGCTGGCAAATTGGGATGGGATGGGGGAGGGGCAATGGGGGAGAGAGTGAACTCAAGAGTGACTCCCAGCCGGTGGAGAAGACTATGGGAGGAGCAAGTTTGAGGCGGGGAAATCAGGACTACTCTTTGATATGGTATCGTGGTGTCAGTGAGGTGTTTACTAGTCCCCCAAGAGGAGACATCAGTGTCAACGGTTGGAGTTCAGAGGAGTCAGGGATGAAGATAAAAATTCACAAGTCATCATCACGTGGATGGGATTAGATGAGATACCCTATAGGAGTAGAGATGCAGAAGAGAACAGGTTTCAGGATTCCGGCCACAAACTAACCAGTTAGTAGTGTTTTCATTCCCACTTTACAAAGAAGGAAAATAAACGTACATAGATTAAGTGACTCACCCAAGGCCCCAGTAGGTGGTAGCCCTGGGATTTAACCCCGGCAGTCTATTCCTGTCCACCTTGCCATAGTGGACATGTACATACAGCAGTGGTGCTTTCCTTCCTTCACGTGTCACAATCTCTCTGCAGGAAGAAGATGATGATGGTCTGCCTAAGAAAAAGTGGCCTACAGTAGATGCCTCTTATTATGGTGGGCGAGGTGTTGGAGGCATTAAAAGGATGGAGGTAAGAGTTCAGCTTAATGTATTTATATCTGTGCTGACTACTCAGTGATGGAAAACCCAAACAAACTCATACTTGCAATCTGGTGGGGATGTGAATTGTGAGGCATCAGATGGAGAGATGGCAGGTACAGCCTTTTAACTGCGCACCCCCATAGCTTGCATATCTTGAGTCAGAGCAGTTCATTCATCTGCCCAAATCCCCTAGTGCTTTCTTCTCTCACCGGAATAAAATCCAAAGTTTTTAGCTGGGCCTGCAAGGCTGTCTCCACGGCCTGGACGATTCCTCGCCTAATATCCATCTGCATGGCTTGCTCTCTCTTCAGCTTTCCCTCTTTCCCTGTTTCCACACCTCCCCTCTTCCGTGGCCCTTAAAGCCCACAGGAATTGAGAATCGGGTAGCACCCACATTGCACATCACACATGTATCTGTGATCCACATTCCCCAGGGGCATCATATTTTATTTTGTCATTTCATTTTTTTGTATTTTATTTGTTTTAGGTTCGTTGGGGAGAAAAGGGCTCCACAGAAGAAGGTGCTAAGTTGGAAAAGGCAAAGAACGCAAGAGTCAAGATGCCAGAACAAGAGTATGAGTTCCCTGAACCTCGAAATCTCAACAACAACATGCGGCGGCCCTCTTCACCCCGGAAGTGGTACTCTCCGATCAAGGTGTGTCTCTTTCTACTCAAAAATCCATCCTCACTCCTGATAAAACACTTACATAGTAAAAATCAGACTCTTTTGACATGATAAAATATCTAACCAAATTCCAGATTATCACAAAGGAACAAATTTCTAAAACCATGGACTTGAAAGTACAGGTACTTACTTTCTCAATTTCCACATTATCAACGTTGAGAACTAGGCTTTTTAAAATCGCCGTGACAAAGCAGTGGGATGAGAGTGGACTATGAGTCAAGTGACTTGGGTAGTAACCCCAGAGGATCATTATAAATTTCCATAACATCTCATAACTTCATTGGTAGGCAATTTCACTATCTAACAAAAATGACAGGACTCCCCTTGATGCCTGATCTTTCTTCCTCTTGCCATAACATAAGCCCATTCCCCTTATCTGAGCCTCCCACCAGTGTGTTATGGCACACTGGTCGATTGCGTTGGCCATGGATCTAGGACTCACTCTTCCTGGCTGTGAGCAAAACGCCTTTTTTGTCCACTGTCTCTCTTCCTTCCACAGCTCCAGAGCTTAAAACTTCTTTGGCTTTTTAAGAAGTTTAAGCCATAGGAGGCAGTTCATGCTTCCTGAGGCCTCTTTTCTTTTCCTCTTGGGTGCAAATGTCTTTGAATTCATGTGATTCATTCAACACCCTTGTTCTTCGTCTTACACATAAGTGTCTGCGCTATGGCAGTTGTCAGAGAGCACTAGAAAATCATAGCTGAGAAGACTCTGACATATCGATCCCCACTCCCTCATTTCATGCAGGAGAAAACAGAGATAAGCAAAGTCCTTGCTCTACCCAGGTCTGGAAGCCAAGGCTCCAACTTAGGTCCACAGCCTCTAGTTCTGTGCTGCAAACAGAGCTGGGCCAACTCCAAGGCCTCAAGTGAAAGACTTAATATAAGAGCTAGTTCTCATCACCACCACACGCACACACACACACACACACACTCACCCATACACACAGCCTTACCCTTCTTCCAATGACAACAAAAATAATATTCATCATTCACTGAGTTATATGCTAATTTTAGAACAGCCCTTCTCCTATAAAAGCAAAAGAAACAACCATTTTAAACAGTGGAGTGAAACTATATTGGTAGTAAACACTTAGCTGAGTTAGCTCATGCTCATGCTAATTGCAATGCATTTTCATTTTGCTTTGCTGTGTTTAAAGCAGTGAGATTCTTTTTTAAGATAAGCCCCCCTGGGGCAATGGATTGAACTCTGGAAAGATGTGGGCGAAATGTAGCTTGCTTGACTAACAGCTGTTTGCTTCTAATTAATTCCTAATGTGGAACATGCAGTGGCGTGCATGCATGCGCAGACAGGAAGGAGCCGAATAGAATCTCAGAGAAGAAAGGGGATTTTCAATTATGTTGTTTTTAGGAATCTGTACCTTGTGACTCATACAACATATTTGGTTAGAGCCGGGTTTTCATTTCTGTAATCTTGGACGTTGAGAGAACATTAACTCTGTTTGAAAAATCCAATTTCTGTTGGAGAGCATGTCATTCCTCTGTTAACTAGTGGTTTAGGACTGAGTTTTATGAAATAAATAAGGGTATGGACAGCTGGATTTAGAAATCTAAAAACGCACCCAACACCCACTTGGAATTAGTATCAATTCAATGAGTATTTGCCGGGCATCCACCACGTGCCAGGCACTGCCAGACACTGAGTACACAGAGGTTCTCAAACCTTACTGGGTATCAGAATCACCTGGGAGAGCTTTAAAAATACAGATTCCCAGACCTAATGTCTCAAGCCTAATGACTCAGAGTCTCACAAAAGGCTTTCAAAGGCTCACTGGCCCTCACAACTTGCCCACTTTTTCTCATCAAATAAGACTTCTATTTTCCCCAATGCCTCCCCTTTCAAATTTCACATCCAAACTCCCTAGTGATACCTCTGTTGCCCCAATTTCTGCTCCCTCCAGTGCCCCTGCTCTTAAACTTCTTCCTTAGTCAATGTGTTAAATCGCTGGTTCTCAAAGTGTGGTCCCTGGATCAGCATCATTAGCTTCCCCCAGGAACTTGTTAGAGATGCATATTCTCTGTCCCCAACCCAGATCTACTGAATCAGCAGCTCTGGGGGTAGGGCCCAGCAATCTGGGTTTTAACAAGTCCAGTAAGAAGTTGTCATCGAAGGTTCCAGCCAGCTTTCCGTAGGAGGTTCCCTGAGGGCAGGTTCCCTTTGGAACATGGCAGAGAGGCCATGATCATACCTTGGTAATTTGTCAGGATTCTCAGCAAGGAGACCCATATTAGGTTTCTTTCACATGGGGTCCGTTTTTACCACAAACACAACTGCTGGATTAATGTTAAGTGGTTGAGACTCTGAATGTCAAGGCATCACCAAAACCAGATGGAAAAGACCTGTGATGCTGGTGGACTTGCTAAGCGCCGTAGCAGGAGTCACTTGTTAGGACATGAGAAAGTGAATGCCACTCTTGCTGGTGGAGCAGTTCATGCCAATGCTTAGTCAGCTTACTCTGCTAGGTAGGAGATGTACAAGAGCTCGTTGGTGTGATTGCTCATGTTTATGAGTCTTATCTCCACCAGATTTGACCCCCTGGAGGCACCAATTATGCTTAACTCATCTTTGAACTGCCACTAAATAGCACTGTATCTGGCATAGAGCAGGGATTCCACCACCTCTTGTTAAAGAGCTGAGGCTTGGGATGTAATTATGAAACCACTCCCAGAGCATCATGCCAGTTAGACTATCTCCTGTGAACCACACAGATCATTCTGGTACTCTCAGTCCAAAGAAGGTGACATTCTTCTTGCTGTCTCTTTGAGGAGAGGAGAGAAAAAGAGATCATCTTATGTGTATCTGGGCTGGGTAGGTGAGGAAAGGGCGGGCACAAGGAGCTTTGACAATAGAAGTATAGAAAGGAATTCAAAAGTCATAATGTGTTCTGTTTCTCCAGAAGAAGAAGGGCAGACTTACTACCAGAACTTCAGCATTCGTACTGTTTAACACCATGCATGCACCATGATGAGCGCCATTTTAGCCACAGTGCCTATGGACATTCGCTAGGCCTTGGACAAAACATTTAGTCACATGTGGTACCATAAACTTTGCTTCCCTTTCCTGAACCCTCTCACCAGATTTGCCACGGTGCTAGCAGGATACAGAAGGCACACTCAAAAGGGTTGAACTAATATAGCTATGGGCAGGGTTAAGGGAACCCCCAGGGATGGTGAGGCACCCCGGGACTAGCAACAGTGGGAGCTGTTACACCCCTTGGCCTGAAGGGCAGGGCAGGGAGAGGGTATCACTGGAGCCAGTGAGAGCTGCAGTCCTGGAAAAGAGGCTACCCAGTGGGCACTGTCGCCATAGGAGTCAGCAATATAAATCTGCCCTGCTACCTGTTTTTATATGGCCTGTAAGCTAAGAATGGTGTTTAGATTTTTAACTGGTTATATAAGTACCTATATAATACCCTTGAGTTTGCCTCTTCATCTACAAAACCTAAAATTTTGACTTTCTGGCCCTTTACAGAAAATGTTTGCAGACCCCTGCCCTATAAGAATGGAGCCATTGTTGGGTACAAGGGGTCAGGGAGGGAGCAGAGGGAACAAATACCTCGACCTCTCCCTCATCTTGCCCTCTCATTTCCTTCTGGTGCCACCTAATGGCCAAGCCAAAAGGAAGCCTCATGATACCATCTGTAGAGGTCAGGCTTCCAAGGCACAGAGCAAGGAAGGCAGAGAAGCACGGAGAGTGGATGGGGACAAGCGGCTCACGGAGAATAACCAGTCCACTCTCTGCCCTCACTATAAACAGGGAGAACACCCGCACCTAGTCTTTCAAGAGATACTGGGAAGACTCCTAGTTCCCCAGAGAAAGTGGTCAGAATCACATACATCTTTAAATGGACTGCATTCAGCTCACTTTGTCATGCATTCTGTGAAATCGATTTGGGAAGCAGAGAAGCAGGTGGGCACGTTTGCTGGGCACACTCACTGGGAACTCATCGAGAGGAGACCACAGTGGGCTTCTCTCTGCCGTTGCCCAGTCTAATTTAAGGCGCTGACCACGCTGACCACACTTCACCCTTTGCTCATTCCAGGCTCATGACCAGGAAATTTTCCGATATTTGGCCTGAAATATCCTTTGCTCGGTTTTCACCCCCTGGATTTACAGCACCCCCTGCTTCTCATTAAATTGGGACTGACCATTTCAGACAAGTTAAGTAATGCCCAGATGTATGGCCACCAGAGAGATTAAAACCAGGACTGTTTTCAGGTTTGCTGGAAGGCTTGCAGCCTTCAGAGTAATGATTTTCCTCCTTTTCCAGTAGCTCCTCCATGTGACTGGAAATGACAGAAAGGACAGCAGAAGGACAAAAGCCAGACCCTGCTGGCCAGGCAGACTGGCTGTTCTCTGCAAGAGAGCCAGACCACGAAGGAGCAGGGTCAGCCCGCACTGCTTGCAGAGCCTGGGAGGGCGGTGGTCTTCTGTTCGTTTTCTGTCAGGCTAACGTGTCATCCCTGGCCCTAAGCACCTTGAACTTGTGATCAAGCAGCATTCAGTCGTGAAATTTTTGTGCTGCGTGAAGCTGTATGTAGCCCACTAAGACACACCAAAGCATTAAGTGTTGTCAGATGTGCTGCTGATGTTGAACAGACTTTTTTTTGTCCCTCTCTGGCTACTTTTTAGAATGGCTCCAAAGTTTTTTTACACAAGGACCAAAAGGAAAAAAGAGGAAAACAAAAATTATTTTGTGTGAGTGTGTGCGTGCATGTGTGTGTGTGTGTGTGTGTGTGTGTAGGGAAAGTTTCCAACTTTACGCATTAATTTATTTGAGGGGAAGCATGGATCATAATATTTACCATATATTTTAAGTTGTAAAAATTCAAGTGTTAGTGTATAATGACCCTATAAGTTGAACTACCCTCAAAATTCTCAGCCTCTGACTAACTTCCAACCAGCGGAGGCAGACAAACCAGAAGAGAAGACACAGCTGCTGCCTGGCCAA